CTCAGTAGCGAGTGGGTGTCGCCTATTGTAATCGTGCCCAAGAAACTGACGGGTAAGATCCGGGTATGCCAGGACTTCCGGAAGCTGAACGCAGCAACGAGGAAGGACCATCACCCTCTCCCTTTTACGGACTCTATTTTGGATCATGTCGCAGGGCATGAATGCTACAGTTTCCTAGACGGGTTCTCCGGCTACAACCAGGTGTCCATCAGAGAACAGGACAAGGACAAAACAACCTTCACGACCGACTGGGGAACCTACGCTTATCACAAGATGCCTTTCGGGTTCTGCAACGCGCCAGCGACGTTCCAGCGGATGATGACAAACATCTTCCAAGAGCATCTGAGGAAGTTCTTGGAAATTTTCATCGATGACTTTTGTGTCTTCGGTAAGAGGTCGGAGCACCTTAACCACCTTCAGCAGACGTTTGAGAAATGTCGGGAAAGCAGCTTGTCCTTGCACCCTGAGAAGTGTTTTTTCTTTATGACCAGTGGAATCCTGCTGGGGCACAGAGTTTCGTCCGATGGCATTGCGGTGGATGTAGAGAAGGTGAAGATTATTCTCGAACTTCAGCCGCCGACGAACCTGCGTGAGTTAAGGGCCTTCCTTGGCCATGTAGGCTATTACAGAAGGTTCATAAATATGTACGCCATCTTGGCAGCCGATCTGACGAAGCTGCTTAAGAAGGAGTAACCCTATGTGTGGGGCAAGGAGCAACAGCTGGCCTTTGAAACACTCAAAGCTAAACTGACGACTGCTCCGGTTCTGAGAAGTCCGGATTGGAACAGACCCTTCCATGTCTATGTAGACACGTCGGCATTTGCAATCGGAGTGGTTCTCAGTCAGAAGGACGACAACAAGAAGGACTACCCGATTTACTTCGCGAGCCGTCAGTTGTCAGCAGCAGAGAAGAAGTACACAACAACTCAGAGGGAGGCGTTGGGAATGGTGTATTCCTGTAAGAAGTTCAGACATTATTTGATCTGCTATGAGTTCGTGTTTCATGTGGATCATTACGCATTACAGCACCTGGTGAAGAAGGCGGATCTGTCCGGACGAATTGCCAGGTGGGTACTACTGCTGCAGGAATTCACCTACACTGTGCAGACTAGGAAGGGCGTTCACCATGAGAACGCGGAGTACCTCTCCAGACTATGGACCGAACCCATAGAAGAGGAAGTAGTGGATGATTTTCCCGATGAACAACTTTTTCAGTTGTCCGCCAGCCATGAGTCCAGGTATGCGGACTTGTACAGGTTTCTGCTCACACTCCAATGTCCGGAAGGATTGGATGCGGAGCAACGCACATTCTTTGTTCATAAAGCGGGACCTTACCAGCTCCAACAGGGGGTCTTATTCAAGAAAATGGCAGATGAGAGGCTGTGCAGATGCTTAGAGGAGTCCGAAGTTCCGCGAGTCGTTAAAGCCATGCACACAGAAGACGCTGGTGGTCATTACGCCACCAGGAATACGGTGACCAAAATTGTGAATGCAGGGTACTGGTGGCCGACGATGTTCAAAGATGTACACGACTACGTTCGCAAATGCGATAGCTGCCAGAGGACGGGAAGGCCGACTCCGACCACGAGATGGCCTCTGACACCGATCATGCCCTTGGCACCATTTGAGAAATGGGGGATCGACTTCGTGTAACCAATACAACCTGTCACTAAAGGCACGCGCAGGCGCTACATATTGGTAGCAACGGACTATGCGACCAAGATGGTGGAGGCAGAGGCCACAAGGCACGACGACGCAGCAGCAGTAGCAAGGTTCCTATTCGAATCAATCATCACACGCTACGGGTGTCCATTAGAAATAGTCAGTGACAGGGGAACGCACTTTTTGAATCAGGTGATAGAAAGTTTGACGCGGCACTTCCAGATTAAGCATCGGAAGACTACTCCATACAACCCCAAGGCGAATGGTCTGACAGAGAAATCCAATGGATTGCTCTGCAAGATACTCCTCAAGGTGACTGTGAACCATGCTCACGACTGGGACGTAAAGCTACCGGCCGCCTTATGGGCATACAAAACTGCAGAGAAAGTCACCACCAGGCAAACACCTTACTTTCTGGTTTATGGGCAGCATCCGATCTTACCTATCGAATTCGAGATACCCACAAAGAGGACCTTAGATCAGAGAAGGTTGGATGCGGAAGAAAGTCAGGCCTATCGACTGCAAGAAGTCATGGCACTGGAGGAAAGACGTCAAGAGGCCGAAGATCGAACAAAGCAACTACAGCTCAGGCGGAAGGAGAAGTACGATCGGAGACTCAAACCAGTACTACTCGAGAAGGGCGACTTGGCTCTTCTCTACGATAGCAGACATGCTAGATTTCCAGGCAAGCTACACTTGAGATGGATGGGACCATACAAGGTGATCGAAGTTATCCCCAATGGCTCAATCCAGCTCGCAGAATTGACAGGAGAATGGCTAGGCACCCGCGTGAACAGGTGGCGTCTGAAGAAATACCACGTGTAAATGTTCGCGTGGGCGCTCACAATTGAGGAGGGGGGCATGTGGTAACCCACTTTTTGTTTTTCGCCGGAACTAAAACATTTTTGATTAGTAAGTACCGTGGTAGCAGCTGTAAATAGTAATCGGTACGCAAAGCCAGAGTAAAAAGAGGATCGAGGACAGTCAAGGGGTTTTGGGCTTAGGCCACAGTGGAACGCTTGGAATGGAACGGGCGGTTCACGCTGCAGGACTCGCTTCGAGCACCTTCGGCGGTAGATCACTCATAACTTCCTCAATTCTTGACGCCTTGAGTTACTTAGGATCTCGTTGGAAAGAGCTCGACGCGCTCGTTCTAACGAGCCCAAGAACACCTGGAACGGATGAGGACTCAGGGAGTTGTGACTGTCGGAAGATGCGAAGGAGAACGCCTACGGATAGGCGGAAGGAGTTCGTCGTCGGCAGAATATCCACCTTCGGCCCTGGATGTTCGCCTTCCGCGACGTACGTCTTCGGGTCAACTTCAAGTCGGCAAACTCGGAGTCGGAGAACTCGGGGTCGGCGAACTCGAGGTCGGAGAACTCGGAGTTGGCAAACTTGAGGTCGGCGAACTCGAGGTCAAAGAACTTCAAGTCGGCAAACTCGGAGTCGGCAAACTTGAGGTCGGCGAACTCGAGGTCAAAGAACTTCAAGTCAGCAAACTCGGAGTCGGCAAACTTGAGATCGGCGAACTCCAGGTCGGCGAACTTCAAGTCAGCAAACTCGGAGTCGGCAAACTTGAGGTCAGAGAACTCGGAGTCGGCGAAACATCGTGCGGGCGCCTTCGGCGATAACAGATAACAAGCCTTCGACAGTGTGCCTTTGGCGAAGGATAAAACCGGCATAACTCTTTCAACTCGTAACGGTTTGACTCAGTTAGGGTCTCGTTAGAAAGAGCTCGACGCGCTCGTTCCAACGAGCCCAAGAACTCTTGAAACGGATCAAGGATCTGTGAGTTATGGGTGTCGGGAGTGACTGTTACAAATAGGCAAAGGTGCGGAAGTGCTTCTTCGGCGGTCAACGCCTTCGGAGAACTCGGAGTCGGCAAACTTGAGGTCGGCGAACTCCAGGTCGGCGAACTTCAAGTCGGCAAACTCGGAGTCGGCGAACTCGAGGTCGGCAAACCGGATGCGGTTCAGAGATCTTGCAGAGTCCATATCTCTGCGATGGACGGTCGGATGGATCTGAAATTTGGTGGGGCCGTTGATCTCAGTCGGCCACGCATGCCTGCAAATATTCAGCCTCAGATCTCGGATGTAAAGACGCTGGCGGCTCTGTACAGTAGGCTTAGGATTTAGATTTAGGGTTAGGGTTAGATTTAGGTTGTAAGTTAGAGGGGAAGGTAGCCGCCGACTCCTCAGGTGTAGGATCTGTTGCGGCTCGCACCCTAGCGGGTAGCGTAGTGTTAGTTAGGACCTTAGAGAGTATAAAGTAGTTCAAGGCGTTTTGCCCTGGGACTCTTCCAATTTCGGAAGTGCAGATCAGGAACTCACTTTCTTGGCGTGTTTGTGCATTTTGGTCCTGGCACCACGTAGAGAAGCTGCAGCATAGCGAAGTTACCGTATGTTGTAGTTGAAGGCCTTCGGCTGAATGTTCAGAGCTAGTACCCGGTTAGAGACTTGAGTAGTGCGGATCTGCACCTGCGGGTGATTTCTGATGCTCAGAGCCGGCTGCGAGTTAGAGACTTGAACAGTTCCCCCTTACTCCTTCGAGTGACATATCCTGATTGTACTCCTACGGGAAGTTTCCCCTGAATGCCAAAGTGAAGTTTTATTACTTCGTGTAAGCCTTGGTTTGCAATTCAGGTTGTGTGTGTGTGTTACTGGATTGTGTCTCAGTTAAGTCCTCAGTCGGGCCTGTACCCCCTGCGTTTGGTGTGAAACGAGGGTGACGTCCACGGCGTATGAAGGGGCTTCGTTCCGAAGTGGGAAGTCCAGTCCGGGTTCCCTACGCTAGTTCTTGGCGGAAGGGCAGTAAAAGCCGGAGTGGGAGTCACTACCTGCAGAACCTCTGAGTGAACTTTTGAGACACTTTCCCCCTGAAATCCGAAGCGGAGGTCCTGACCGACCTCCGAGTTGTGCTTTTGCCAGTTTCAGGTGTGTGTGTGTGTGTGTGTGTTGAGTGACTACGCTGTACTGTGCATCCTCCGAGCATCCTCCGAGTCGAGCATCCTCCTCCGAGTCGAGCCTCCGAGTCGAGCACTGCAGTATTTCTGGGAGTGACAGTCGCCTGAGAATTCAAACTCTACAAAAGTCTGTTAAACGTGACATTTTTACTCTGTGTGTTGCCTCTGTCCCTGTGGGTTCGATCTTTTTACCACCATACTGCAGTTTTAGCCTTTGGTGGGTTATTACATCCATATTCAAGAGTTCATCGTGGCTTCACCTCCTTCAATTGCGACGTTGTAGGTCGATGATAAGTATCAGTACTCTGAAGACAACAAGGACAATCAAGTCCATGGATGGATGTCCAAGGATACGAATCCTACCGTAGGATTTTGGATGATCACACCAAGCAATGAGTCCAAAAATGGGGGCCCCATGAAGGCGGATCTAACTTCCCACACTGGTCCAACATGTCTCTCTGTAAGTCACTTATTTTCACAACCAGTAATCATGTGTCAAAACCTGTTCAGACTTTTGAACTCTTGGACTGATTCCCAGTGATTCTTGTTTGAATCATGTTGCTAACAAACAGATTCGTTTCCCTTATGTGTGTGGCAGATGTTCCACAGCGCACACTATGCTGGAATAGACCTTTGCCCGCAGTTCAGACATGGTTTGGTCCAGTTTACGTATACCTCAATCAAAAACCCGCGGGGACTCCAATTCGTCAGCTTTGGGATGATGCAAAAGCTCAAGTGAGCATCTCATCATTTTTTGAACCATCACCTCTACTTCATTCTTCATCACCATCTCCTGATCCGAAGAGGTCTGACAAAGGTACATTTGTTCTGCACAGATGGCTAAAGAAGAAACAGCATGGCCATATACATGGCCCTCCTGATCAGATTATGCCCACGCAGCAGATCGAGGACATGTGTCAGGCCGACTTTTTGTCCAAGACAGGTACCCTCAGCCCTTTTGATATTCACCCTTCGAGTTTGCACCTTATGTCGGGAGGACACTTATTATCATTTCTCCGGGCTTCATATGTAAATTTCAAAATTCCAAACTAGAGAATTTTCAGATCCTGCTTGTCTCTCCACTGATCGATAGCCTGCAACTTGTCAATGGCAACCCAAATTCGCCTTCGCGGCCCTGTAGCTACGCGAGTTCAAAAAGAAGCACCGCCGGGGACGCATGGGTGGGCCTGTCCCTTCCTGGAAATGTCGGAACATGGCAGACGGAGAGTAAGGTAATGAGCTGAACTAAATTGACCTCGTCACGCTACGTTTTCAGGTTTTTCAGCTCAGATGCAACTGTTATGTATACAAGCCAGCAGCATTGCCTTTTCACTTTACATGGAATAGTATGTGTAACAGGGTTACCAGTTTTGGACGAAAGCTGATAGTCAAGGAAATTTCTCCATCCAGAATGTTCGAGTCGGCACTTACAGTCTTAATGCCTGGGTACCTTCCGTGATTGGTGATTACCTGAAAAACGGACACATAACGGTTGCTGCAGGTTTTCCAGATTCTAATCCTTCTGCATCTGCAGATCTGTTGAACACACTGTCTCCTGAGCGGGTTCATATGTTATCGTTGGTGTTATCTTTAGTGCAAGTTGACTGCTCCCTGCTCACATGACTGCCTTAAGGGCGGCCTGCCCTGTCCATAAGAACTGAGGCTCAACATTAATTACACATTTAAGCCCGCTTTTCTTTGCAGGAGATAGTATCTCCCTGGGTGATTTAACTTACACGCCTCCGAGATACGGGCCAACCGTCTGGGAAATTGGTTATCCCAGTCGAACAGCTGCAGAGTTTTATATTCCTGATCCAGATTCAAGATATCCAAACCTTCTCTACGGCAGCGTCGAAAAGTGAGTTCTGAATGTTTGTCTGCAAAAAGATATTGTTCTAGTCCTGCCCTGCAGTGGTTGACTGGGAAAGAATCGTTGAAACTATCTAAATGGTCACATGCTGCGTTCGATTCGCGTGATTATCATTTTAACCGTTGTGTTGCTTTTGATGCATTTGCCTGTCAAATCAATCGATTATCCCTTCCAAGATGGAAGGATGAATTCTTACGAATTGTCTGTGATCTATGCAGATGGCGCAACTATGGACTCTGGCAAAGATACACTGATTTGTATCCGTCTCAGGATTTGATATACACTGTAGGAAAAAGTGATTACACCAAAGATTGGTTCTTCGCTCATCTCTGCCGGTGAGGACTATTTTTGAACCATAGTTAAATTTGTGTAAGCGCATTCTTAGTTGGAAAATAACATTTCAATATGGAGTATGTTCAGAAATCTAACAAGCATCAGAGATCATGGAGTGCATACCTGTTCGTACTTTCGCTGACATCTAATCTGAGAGAACCTTCACCATGCACTCATCGAAAGCTCGAAATAATGTCATGCTGCATCTGGACAGGCATGCATCCGATGGTGTCTGAGTCGCGGCAACGTGGCAGATTAAGTTCCATCTATCGACTTTCGATGCAAGCCAGGGTGCATACAAGCTCCGCATGGCCATTGCCCAAGCAGAGATAGCAGCTGTCCAGGTTAGCAGATAAGGCTCCCTCTACTCTGGATTTCTCTGTTTGAACAGGTCACGGCCTTCTGAACCAACTTTCGTCTACCTGCAGTCCACTACCTGATTATGGACCCACTTCGAAAAATAGAACCAATTGTCGTCAACTTGCAGTCCATGGCCTTACTATGGACTCAATTAAAGAGAGTTAAAAACCACGATCTGATTCTGACACGCGCACTGCTTCGCACATACAGGTCCGGGTGAATGACATCGCCATGAAGCCGGTCTACGAAACGCCAGCATTCGGCAAAGACAACGCCATCGCTCGGCACGGCATTCATGGGCTGTACGCCCTCTACAACATCGACATCCCCGCAGCGGACCTCCATAAGGGCGACAACATCATCTACCTGACTCAGAGGAAGGCCTCGGGGCCCTTCAACGGATTCATGTACGACTACCTCCGGCTCGAGTCGCCGCCCGTCTCCTCCTCATCCTCGTAATTCCTCGGTGACTAGGAGGGGAAAGTCTCCCGAGTACGACGAGCAGCAGCTGAGCCACAGTCACAACAACGTTCTGTTAATTGCGAGGGACTAGTGTGGAGCCAATGACGCCGCCCATCCACAACCAGACCACACGGGTGCTGCGTTTGTACCACTCAAACACATTCTGGAAGAAAATTTGTCCCGTGCGTCATCGTTGCTGTTTATGCATAGATTTATTGACTGGCAACACCATAGATGCAGGTTGAAGGATATGACATCCAACCAACATCTTATACTCTCTTCTCATTGCGTATATTAGGAGGCTATCGAAAATAAATTTTAGCTTAATTGTGTCTTTGGGTAGTGATTTGGCATGGAGCCAGGTGGCTTTGACAGATTGTGCTATGAAACGTTAACTAGGAGCATCACCCCAGTCTCGTGAGCACGTAGCAGTTGGGACGTAGGAGTCATCTGGTCCGACCTTTCCATATGAATATTAGCTTTGGGATCGAGCGAGCTTACTCTTGTACCAATATAATTGTCGAGCGAAATGCTGACAGCAAGTGGATCAGTTGAAAAACCTGGTCTAGAATATTGCTATGCATTTTCATGATTAACCTTCGGTTTTAGAGTTGAGCATCAGACATTCTAATAAAGCAATGTCATATTCAAGTAGCATGTCTTCAATGCTTCCCACATTTCTTTTTCATGATTCTGAATCGACTCATGTTTCTTACGAATCAAAACAGTCCTAATTAAAGATATGAAAATGCACAGCTTGTTACATTTTCAAAACTTACAACCTGAATCCACGGTTGTTTGCTCGTGGTGAACTTTATTTATGATGTCCTACATCTTAACAAAAATTCTTGCAACTATCCACTTCTCCTCAATTCCCACTATTTATAAAGGAATTCGGCCAAATTCAAGTAGTGGCTCTGTGAATTATTTGCTAATCCTTCTGATCCTTCCATTCACCTTGGACTACACACACCTTCTCAGCAGATCTACAGGCCACTGTGTAATTTCAATCAGTATGGCCATATTTAATTTTGAACATTTCTTTCTCCCTCATGTGATGCAATCTAGTGACTGCTCAATCGACAGAAAATCCAGATCTAGGTTTAACAGGTAACTCACCTCTTTAATTTCAAGGTTGTGAAGTTATAGTACGACTACTGTGCACTCGCATTCGATGGTGCCAGTATGCACCGTGCTGCTGTTGTTGTCCAAAGGTCATGAGGCTGCTAGATTCACAACTGGATGATTAAATAATGAAAAAGGAATTATGTTCATAGTTTGTACCTGACACCCATGACTTTGTTGATCTCTGGGAATCTCGCAGAAGTGGAAAAGGAACATGTTTGGCCACTCTGCAATTCCTACGTGTCGAAGGAACTTAGTTCACGTTCTGAAAACTTGAACTATGTTCAAAACAGGGGTCATGGATACGCATTAATTACTGCCTTCGTGGACTCCACATAGCCCTGTCCGAATATATGTTTGGTCAACGAGTGCATCATGGTAAGGTGTGACGTGCAATGCAAGCATGGCTTAACGAATAAGTATATACTTGTTCAGGAATCTCATTGACTTTTATTCTAATGGTCTAGAGCTTGAGTTTGAGATATTATGGATGAAGAAGGAAAACAATACTCTTACATGACGTCCTCAAATTTGTTACACTTTAAGTGCGCCAGATCTCCAGGATATTCAGGAAAAAAAGATTCCACCAAAATCAGAACTGATCTCAATATTTGTAATTATCATTAAAGTTAATAAAAATTTATCAATAAAAGTTTAATCCTTAAAAAAACTGTTGAAATTTATCAAAGAAGGTCAAAAGAACTAAACGAAGAAAAAGTTATATCTTGATATTATTTTTTTCAAATTGTTAGGAAAAACCTTCAATGTTTATTTTGTTGGTTAGCTTTTTTTGAAATGTATTACCGTTAATTATACTCACAAATTAAAACTTGAAATACATTATGATTCAACACGGACGGAAAAGTTTCAACGGAGATGATGATTTATCTCATCATAAACGTATGATATTTACTGTGATACAAGTACTGAGCTTATGTCCTTGCATGTGAAAATTAGACCTTTTATTTTCACTAGAACTTTATACGTGCATAACCCATTACAGCTGGAAGATTTCGATTAGTAAGTCATTCATCACTGCCTATATATGCTCGTGTGTGGAGCTTCTTTATTTTTCATCTTCTGGTTTTTTGTCTGATTGTACGTTTTAGTATTAATTGATTGTTGCATATTCTTGATTCTCAACTACTGAGATGTCAACAAATTTAACTTTTTGACAAATATTTTTGTATGAATATGCCTTGCTGTCCTATGAAATGTCCATGGCTTCGCAGGTTACTTGTACAATTAAAGTGTGGATATTGACAATCTTGTTTATTCATAATTGAATTGATTTGATTTTGATTGACAATTGTTGAATATCATATTTCTCATTTAATATTTTGATCATTCTTCCTATCAATGTAGTGTATATACTATTTCTCGTTACCAATGGCCATAATTTGTAATAGCATTTGATGCAGGAATGGCTTTGTGGGACATGGCGAACTGAATGTTCAGAGACATTGAACAGTTGAAACAAGAACGAAATTGCTACTTGCTGAGGCACAAGCCTTGGAAACATGGATCTACAATGCATCCTCCGGAACAGTGGAGATGGACGTGGAAGACAAAATGGGACGACTTGAAACTTTGAATACTGAGGGAGTGCGATCGTACAATGAAAGAAGAGACTATTTTAAACAAATCGATGCTGGAGATGGAGGCTATTACTCTCTTGGATAAAGGGTCTGGGAAACGCCGAGGAGATGATACAAAAACACTCAGATCCAACAGCATGGACAAAATTTGGGCAAGCTATCGTCTAGAGAGAACGCTTATGTCAATTCCAGTGTATCTTAGGTCTCAACTCTGGATGTCTGAATTGATGTTGATCTGTCATTGAACATAATTTATTTATAATCTTTGATGTCCGATTTGGGTTATCAGAGAGCAGAGAGTGGCTAAGAATTCGCCAGTTTCTGTTTTGATCCTGGTTCACAATGTATACTCTGAGCATCCCTTTTAAAAAAGTAGACGACTTCGATATTTCTTGAAGAATGTTTTGATAACCAGTCTGTGGTTCAGGTGTGGACACATTCTAGCGCCAAACTAAAGGAGAGGCGCTGCAGCTGCAACTTTATGACGACACGTAGAATTAATTCGACAATCTCATTCCCATTGTTTCAATCAAGGATGCTCATCAAATTCGAATTATCTCAGCCTCAATTTCCAGCCCGTCCTACCCATCCAATTCTCCTCAATCAACCAGAAATATGAGTAAGTGAGAAGTGCGTACTTTGATAATTCATTGGGGAGATAAAGTGGAATGCATTCATGGTATCCAGATAAATTATATATTTTTTAACGTTGCCTGCTTTGCAGAAGATTGGAGTCAATTAAGAAAAAGTGGAATATTTCGACTCACCCAAGATTGAATAACTTTGAACAACAATCGGACTACCAATTTCTATTACTACTAGAACGGACGGATGTACAAGTAGCCATATTAGACCTCCGTTCAATCTCACCATCTCTCATATATGTTCTCCTTGTTACTGCTTGCATATTTTTATTCATCGGATTGAATCATACACGGCAGCGTGTACCAAGGCTTCACAATGTTGACTCCTAGCTCCGACCAATATTCGACCAAAAGGGGGGGCCCCAACGCACGAAACCTGACCTCTGTCTCGGCAGCACTCGAGGTAAACGATGCCATGAACCTTTTGTCCAGCTAGTTCCACAGCGATCGTGTCTGATCTCCAGCCTCGCAATAGACACTATGACCGTTATGGCGCGCATACTTCGCTCGGACCGGTTCTCGTGACTTGCGACCGCCCTCGGATCCGCGCATGACCCTCCACGACCCTTTGACTTCACTCAACGAATTCTGAGATCTCCCAGAATAGCTCACTCCCAGGTTTAGGAACGTTAAAAAGCAGCCTACCCTGCCCTAGGCTCACCTGACGTCTCCATGTTCTGAGATCTCCCAGAAAAACTCACTCCAAGGTTTGACCTAGTTTAGTTTGACAAGAAGAGAATATTCATGGCCGAGCCTATCAACGTCACGATAAAGCATATTGAGACTAGACAATCCAGTCATGGAAGACGCTGTCGTCTATCGATTTCAAGTACAAGCAAATTATCAAACCCACAGCGGATTCTGCACTGAATTCCATTCAACACGCTTACTTTCTATTTCTTATACATGAAGGTATCTTAGTTGGACTAAGTCAAATATTGAAATCATGACACATTTCAACCCTCTTGTTTTGTTCAAATCATACAATTTTATCATTTTTAGATTATTATAATTTTGATTTTTGAATCTTCATTGAATTTTTTTCATAAAAAAAAACTTTCCTCAAATCTATTCTGAATCTAGAAACAAGATAATTTGATGAGTGGATATGAACCATTTCGTTGTAAATTGTCTTGGTTTTTTTTTTTTTTTGGCATATAGATTTTCTTATTTGCATCCACATATTCATTAAATGTAAGTTCAAAAACCAATAATGTAAAGATCTTGAGAGTCAAATCTTACGAGTTTAGCATTCAAATATTTGTAAAATTAGATGAGGTTTCTGTAAGACTGAATTTACAATATGTGACAACTTTTGGATTTTACTAACTTCGATGAATAAAAATAGTTTTTGATGAGATCTTTTCAAAAAATTTAGTTTTTCAATTTTCAATTTAAATTAAAAATAAAATTTAATAAAGTTTCACGTTTTCTATCTCAAAAAATTCAAAATAAGATTTTTATTTCTTTTCAATTTTGAAGATATTTAACATACTTGATACTTGAGTTGTCAATAAATGGTAAATGGTAAATGGATCAAGCCCGGGGGACCCAAAGGGTCAAAAGGCTGAAAAACACAATACAAGCGACAGCCACAAACATAGATTATAACAACAGATGGTGATCCCAT